GCCCACGTACCGCAAAAAAATAAATAAATAAATAGAAACTGAAGGAATTGAAAGGAACACAGTTGAAGAACAGAGAAGCTTTGAGCCACTGAAAATGAGTTTTTAAATATGAAGCCATCTCTAGGCTTAAGCTATGATAGAACACTTATGCTTTGGAGACCATAATATTGTCCAAAGTCTAGTGTCCTAAAACAAGTGAATATTTAAAAATTGTATTTCTCTGATTATCTTTACCAGGATATAAATGCATCTGCAAAATTCTGCATCATTTTTCCTTTATTTTACTTTTAAAACTGTGAAGATATTCATTATATTGATAAGATTTCATGATATTTTAAAACAGTTTTATTCAGGTATAATTTACATATCATAAAGTTCACTCATTTTAATTGTACAGTTCAATATTTTTTATTGAGTTGTAAAGGTTCTTTATATATTATGAATACAGGTCTCCAGATATAGGTTCTCCTATTTATGATTTGCAAATATTTTTCCCATCCTGTGGATTCTTTTCACTTTCTTGAAAGTATTATTTGCAGCACAAGAGTTTAAATTTTGAAGTAATCTAATTTATCTGTATTTTCCTTTGTCTTTGGTACTATGATATTTTAATATTAGATAAATAATTTATGCCTCTACTGAAGGAAAAACATGCCTGATTTTCTTGACTTCTTAATGTAATTTAACTCACTGATGTTTTCCGAATTTTCACTTCCAGCTCATTTCTGAGAAATAATCAAGGAACTATACTCATTTTAAAAATTTTCAGGAATAATGGAAGAACAGATGAATGATTAGTTCTTGGCAGAATGAAATAAGCTTCTTTGTTCCTAGAAATATCCAGTAGAGTATGGATCTCTGACTAGTATAACTAAAAACATATTCTTTCCCAGACTTAAAAAAAAATACGTGTAAGATAACATCTCTTTGTGTCTGTGCCTGTGTGTTAGGTGCATCTGTGTCTGTGAGCACATGCCTCTGTGTGTACATATGTACTTGTATATATCAATATGTCTTTGTACATCTCTTTGTGCATGTGTATGCATAAGATACTTACTCTTTTGTATGCCAGTTCCTAATTGGACATTGTGGCTTAGGTATTGGAGTGCAGAAAATAAAGGAAACAAATAAGATTTTTCTGTTTTCATTCTCCATCTGCTCTTTAAAATCCTAGGTTTGCTAAAGGGTGGGAAGAAGAGAGCTGGAAAATGGAAAGAGTTTAAAGGAGACCCTGCTGAATTTGCAAACACTAGGCCAGGGCCAAGGCCACTTACATAGCAACTGAGGTATATTATATACCTCATATCACTAGACTCCCTTTCTAGACAACTAAGCAAATATTAGAGTTTCCAGTGGCCTACTCCAATTGTAATAATAAGATGCAGATTTCATTTTATGGTACAAAAATAGTATAATAAGGCAAGGCTTAATTTCAGAACTTTTAGAGCCTGAATTTTAGGCTACTTTAAAAATTCAATATAAGAAAAACATAAGGAAAAATGTTTTTATGCTTCAAAAGTTAACAACTATGTCTCTTGAAAAATTTTAGTGTTTCTAACAAGTCTGGTTCGGATAGCATGACATCAAAGTGGATTCACTATATTTAAGAAATCATACATTACTGTGGTGTTAGCAAAGGATGTATGTCTGGTCCTTTATTCCAGGGATCAAAGTGGAAAGACTTGTAGTTTGTTATCTTAAACTCTTCTTTTTATGTCCAGATAAGCTTTCAAAGCCTTGTTAAATCAAGTAGCCATTGGTGTTTATGTAAATTGTAATCCAAATTTATTAAGGCTCTTGGTATAACTAAAGTTTTTGACAGAAGTAGATAAAGTAGGAATCATTTGTATTCTGATTGTATTTTTAAACCTTTTCAGTTTTTTTTCCCTACACTTACTGAGGCTCTCCTATATCCTATCAAGACTTTCATTAAATTTTATATATCTGTTTATCTACAAATATATAATTGCCATGAAAAGGAAAGGAGTGTAACTTTTGATGTCTGAAAAATGAGTAGAATTTAGTGGGTAGAGAGAGGTAAGTGATGGAGGTGGAGAGTAGAGGCTCATGGAAGAGGCCTTGTAGCAGAAGGGACCATAGGAAGAATGAAGAGAGTCAGTATGGCTAGAGCTCAAAGAGTTAGTAGGTGATGAGGCAGGGACTAGACTATGTAGAACCTTAGCAACATGTTGATAAGGGTAAGAACACTAAGAAACTATTTAAGAGTATTAAGCAAGGGTAAAAAGATTAGATTTGTGTTTTTAAAAGATCCCCATGACTACACACCAGTGTAGAAAACAAATCAGAGGGTTGGAAGAGAAAATGGAAATGTGGGTCAACCAGAGAGTAAGGCCATTGCAGTAGTTCCTCCAGGAGATGCAGTTGATTGGGTTAATAATGAGAAAAATGGGCAAATTAGAGAAATATTTAGAAGGTAAAATCAAAGGAAAATGGTGATGGATTGAATAGTGGGGGTTGATAGAGAGGTGGTATGAGGGTGATTCCTGAGTTTCTAGGGCTTGTGGAAATAGGGGAACTGTAGTGCTGTGTACTCGGATAGGGAATGCTGTAAGAGGATCTTTCAGGGGAGGACGTTAGGGGGACTCATGAGTTTGGTTTGACACATTGTTTGAGGCACTTTTGAGACATCCATATTATAAGGGTAAATTGACTTGACTGTGGAAGATATGGGTCTGGAGCTTAGAGATCTGGGCTACAGCTAGAGATATCACAGTCATTTGCATATAGAGTATCTAGTGCGAAAGAAAGTGTATATAAGAAGAGAAGAGGGCCCATAATTAAGTCTGGAGGAACTCCAACAATTATCACCAGCTAAAGGGGATTGAACCTGTAAAGAAGATTGACGAGTAGCCAGAGAGATGGGAAGAAAATCAGGAAAGCTAAGGGGAGACAGTTTCAAGGAGAGCATGATCAACAGTGTTGGATGCTGCTGAAAAATGACAAGTAAAATGAACAAGGAATTTGGTTTTAGCAACATGGAAGTTTTTCTTGATTTTAGCAAGAGAAGTTTCTACGGAATGATGGAACAGAAGCCAGATTGGGGTGAGTTAAGGAGTAAATGGAAGGAAGGAAAATAGAAATGGCTATATAAACTTTAAAAAGAAGCCAGATAGGCTGTAGCTGGAGGAAGATGAGGGATAAGGAAACTTTACATTTAAGATAGGAAGAACATTAGTATTTTTAAAACTTGTGGATAGAAGAGAAATAATATATAGGGTAAAATTCCCCAGAGGGTGGATATATATTAGAGGAAAAGAGGGGGTATAGGTAAGTACATGTCAAAGGAATGGCTTTAACAGATTTATACCTTATTTATTGTAACAGGTGGGAAGGAGGAGAGAATGAGTGCAGATGTATGAAAGTTTGCTAGCAAGATACTGAGGGAGCTCTGCTTAGAGAAGCTTTTTTTACTTTTTCCCCCTAAGAAAGAGGTGAAGTCATTTGCCGAAAGTGAAGAGAAATGTAGCTGAGGTTTAAGGCAAAAGAAAGGTAGGAGGTTTGAGGATTTTGGAGAGGGTTTGACATAGTTGTGGGACTTGGGAAAATTAATTAAACAGAGAAATGTCATAAAAGTGATGGCAGTGATAAAAGCCTATTTGAAATTGGTGATTACGAATTTATGATGCAACCTATCTACCTTGTCAAATGACTTTCTCCAGCAGCTTTGGCTACTTGAGTACAAAACTGAGAGTTCCTTAAGGGGATTAGGGTAGAGAGGGAAAGGGAGTAAATAAGCAGTGGTATGCAGGTAAATGTTTAACAACCAGTTCTTAAAGAAAAAAAAAAGTCTGATTTGTTTGTAATTTTTGCTGATATCCATGGTTTAAAAACCCTCTCTGTGGCCAGTTTCAGAGTATCAACCTGACATCACTGAATGCGGAATTGAAAAGAGATGAGGAATAGCAAACCTTTTCCACCACTCGGATGTGATAGACATTTATAACCTCAAAAGCATAGATAGTAGCAAAATGTAAAATAAAATTTAAAATGTAAAATAATTAGGAAGTGATGCCTTTTGAGTAATCGTTACCTATATTTTAAATATACTTAATTTGTAAGTTTATTTAAGTTAAATTTTAATGATCACTGTTTAATAATCAGTGCTATTTAACAAATAATCCTTAAAATGTAACAATAATCTCTAAACATTAGCCAGCTCCATCACTCAGGTACGGTAGAATGTGGTAAGTGATATTATGGAATGGTGCACAGAATGCTGTCATACAAAGGGAGTAGCATCTAACGTGGTTATAGAGGTCCAGAAAGGTTTCCTGGATTTGATGATGCTTGAGCTGAGACTTGTAGAATGAGTAAGAGCTAACCAGATAAGAGATGGGTGATGGGAAGAAGGATTAGCATATGTGAAGGCATGGAAATTTAGTATAGTTGTACCTTCAGAAATAAAATGTTTTTCATTTGTGAGACATTGGAGCAGGAGAGAAATAAGTTATCTACCTTCCTTAGGATATTTTACATAGAGATGGAAGTACAAAAGATTCAGAACATTTCCAAATGGAATGTTTTGATTGCAAAGGAATTATTAGGAGTTATTGAAGCTTGCCTGAGAAAAATAATGCATACAAAAGAAGTGTGTTTACCTAATGTATATCAGTAGCATCTAACAAAATGTAACAATTTCCAGAATTCAGATACATTTTAGAGTACAGCCATAAAATGGTATATAAGATAATCAGAGAAAATAAATTTTTAGACTCCAATGTTAACTAGACTATGTCTTCATTTCATTACGGAAGAAAATTAACATCTCTTGCTCTAAAAATTTATGGTGACTCAGAATTTGTAAATGCATTCACATCATCAAACAAAACCTTAAGTTTTTATACTATATGGATGGTGGCTGTGTCACTTTTTTCCATTTGACTGCTGTGCTGTTTACTTATTATGGAGAAAGTTGGTGACTTCTCTTTTAATTTTGTTTTCCAATTTGTTCTGCTCTTGTGTGTGCTCTTTACCCCTAGCTACAAGACATTTTTACCAAAATGTGTTCGAGCAAAGATCCAAGACTATCATATTTTGACAAGGAAGCGAATAAGGTACAGATTTCGCAGATTTATTGAGCAATTCAGCCATTGCAAAGCCACTGCCAGAAACTTGAAACTTAAGTATCTTATAAATCTGGAAACTCTTCAGTCTGCCTTCTACACAGAGCAATTTGAAGTAAAAGAACCTGGAAGAGGTCCTTCAGGTGAGGAGATTTTTGCAACCATTATAATAACTGGAAACGGTGGAATTCAGTGGTCAAGAGGGAAACATAAAGAAAGTGAGACACTGACAGAACAGGTAATCCTCAATGATATGTTCTCATTCTTTGTTAATTTAAGTAGAATGGCAGTAGAAGCAAAGTACTTTTAGTCATTTGAAACACGGTCTTGCACTTCTCTTCTCCCATTGATACAAATGGAAGTTTTTAATAACGTGATGCCAACAAGGTCATACCTTATTGTTCTTAAATGGCATTTTATTAATTTTTTATGACTAAATAATTAGTAATGGTGTTCTTGTAGTTTCACTCTTGAATTCTAAGAGTGATGTTTAAGGTCGTTTTGCTTCCTTTTTTCTTTTTACTATTATTGATAATATGAAGCACAATCATGAAATTTAATTAGTTCGAAAAGATTAATTTTCATTGATTTTATGATGTATACTTGTTAAATAATTTAGTTTTTGTTTGCATTACAAATTTTAAGTTTGTTCATATCTTTGTGGTTCTTAGGATGTTATCTGATATATATATATTTTTATCTTCATTCTTTGGTAAACTTTCAATTTTCTGGCAATGGTTTCTATTAATGTTGATTGGATTGAAGGGTACTATAGCACACTTTAGATTCCTGGCACCCTTTAATGCTCTCATTTTTAAGTGAAAGCAAGATACAGTGTAGTTTTAGGGTTACATTATTGGGGGAGAGAATCCCATTTAATGCTTATCTATTGGTATCAATATTTTTTAAAAAGAATTTGGAATGAAATCTCCTTCATAAGAGTCTTGTTTTAAAATGGCTCCATAAATTCTACCTGTTTTTAATATCAACTGCTCTTAATTACAGGATTTACAGTTATATTGTGATTTTCCTGATATTATTGATGTCAGTATTAAACAAGCAAACCAAGAAGGCTCAAATGAAAGCAGAATTGTAACTATTCATAAGCAAGATGGTAAAAGTCTAGTAAGTTTGCTTTATCATTAATAATGGTTATGTTTTACAGTTGTCAGAAATAAGTATTTCAGAATCTTAATACCAAAGTTACTTTCCAAAGTTATAATAGTTACAAAGTTACAAAGTTGTAATACCAAAGTTACAAAGTTACCGTAGGGATGTTGATTATAGTTTTAAATAGAGCTGTAAACATAAACAACAATTTAGTAAGCTTTTTGATTACATCTAGCTTTTTGTATCACTACCAACACTATCTTCCCATAGAGTATCTTGTACATTAATGTATTTTTCAGTCATTTTCATAATTAGCAAAAGCACCAGTTACCTCCTGCCGTCTCCTCCCCCACCCCCAGCCTCAGTTGTGCTAGTTCCCTGTTGTAATGCTCATTCCTCACTACAGTCGACCCTCTGTATCTGTGGGTTCCATATCCAGAGATTCAACCAACCGCAGATTGAAAATATTCAGGAAAAAAAATTCCAGAATGTTCCAAAAAGCAAAACTTGAATTTACTATGTGCAGGCAACTATTTACATAGCATTTACATTGTACTTACAACTATTCATATAGCATTTACATTATATTAGGTATTATAAGTAATCTAGAGATGATTTAAAGTATATGGGAGGATGTAAGTAGGTTTTATGCAGATAATATGTCATTTTATATAAGAGACTTAAGGATCCACGGATTTTGGTATCTGTGGAGGGAGAGATAGATACAGAGGGATGGAGGAACAACTGTATAATCTTTTTTACCAATAGAGATGTACGTAATTCTAGTCATACCACCTCTTTATGTAACAAAATGTAAACCAATCCCAAGTGATCCCTACGCAAACTGTGAGACATGTTTGACTCTAAAAGATTAACCCCTTCTCTTTTTTAAAATAGCTTCAGAGGGAATTCCCTGGCAGTCCATGGTTAGGACTCTGTGCTTCCACTGCCGGGGTCATGGGTTCAATACCTGGTTGGGGAACTAAGATCCCCCATGCTGCATGGCGTAGCCAAAAAAAAATAATAAAATAAAACAGAATAGCTTCAGACATCCCACGTACTTTAATTGAAAGGGAAGAAATGAATTCCTTTATACTCTGCTCTTAAATTGCTTATTTTTCTGGCTCTGTTTTCTTTCTAACTCAGATATTTCTTGTGCTTGGGGCTTAAACGTCATATTAATGTTATTTGTTTATTTAACTTAAGTATCTATATGACTTACCTACCAGGCCATTTCAGGGTTTTATGACCAAAATTATAAAACTTGCAACTCACTTTCATCAGCATGCCTTCCTTTTCTTAGGTATTAATCCTTTGTTGTACAGGTTTGCAGTTTGCCAAGTCTTTTAACATTGTTTATGGTATCTTTTATAGTACCTATTTTTATGGCCTATTTGTGTTAGTTAGATACCTTTTATAGTTCAGATACCTCACACAGTTCTCTCCTTATTATAATTTTTGATATAAGTCCATACTCTGTGTTCTCATTGTGACTAAATATTGCTGAGCCAAGCATTATATCGTGATCACATGTCCATTCTTGTACATACAACTTTTTGTTTTTCTGGGAGTTGATCATACCTTCAACTTTTTTCAGTATTTCTAATTAATACAAACTTTTATATCAGATTAGATAGATTTATAATTAAGATGACTAGCACATTTGTCTAATGGGTGAATTGGAAAATACAATAAAATTATGGGTGTAGAGTGAACTATAACTAGAAAGGCATGATAAACTCATATTTGAGAGGGTCTTAAATATCAGACACAAGAATTTGTAATTCACTTTGGGTAATTGGGAACCTTAAAAGACATTTGAGCAATTTAGAAGAAAACTAATTTAGAAGAATTATCTAACAACATGGAGTGAAAATAATTTTCTTCTTTTTCTTTTCTCCTCTTAGGAGATTGAACTTAGGTCATTAAGAGAAGCTTTGTCTTTTGTGTCATTAATTGATGGATATTACAGGTTAACTGCAGATGCACATCATTATCTTTGTAAAGAAGTAGCACCTCCAATGGTGCTTGAAAATATACAAAGCAACTGTCATGGCCCAATTTCGTGAGTAATACAGACTTTAAAAGTAAAATTTTTTTAAAGTAAATGAGGTATTTACATAGAAGAGTTTACACAACAGAATGATATACCTAGGTTTAGGAAGTTTAGGAAAGAAATATTATCTTAATCTGACGGAAATTGTTTTTCTTTTAATGAAAGCCTATTTCCAATCAGACTACATAATAATTAGAATTATTTAGAATATAACTTACCATCTGTATCCCAATCTATAATACTAACTTGCTGTATAAGTTTGATATTTAGTTCCCTAGGTGTGTTTAATTAATTCTTCAGTGTTAATTTTTTTTAAAACCTTCCAATTTATGTTTCATTAATTTGGAAATACTGCAGAGGAGCCACAGTGCAAAATTTGATAATCATCATTATTTTTGGATAATCCATCTCCTTCTACTGAAAGCTTTGAACACAAAATGTATATGATGTCCATATTTCTAGACTAGCTCTGTGCAGTATGTTCCACGTTGATGAAAATGAAAATGTTCTATATCTGTGCTGTTTAATAATTGCTGCCAGCCACATGTGGCTATTTAGTATTTAAAATGTGGCTAGTGCAACTAAGGAACTGAATTTTTAATTTAATTTAATTTTAATAACTTTACATTTACAGTTGACCCTTAAACAACACAAGGTGTTAATCCACATATAATTTATAGTCCATCCTCTGTATCAGTGGTTCCTCTGCATCCTTGGATTCAAACAACCACAGACTGTGCAGTACTGTAGTATTTACTATTGAAAAATATCTGCGAATAAGTGGACCCTCGCAGTTCAAACCCACGTTGTTCAAGGGTCAACTGTAAATAGCTTCATGTGGCTACTAGCTACCGTGTTGATACACACAGTTGTAAACCTTTACTTTAACACTGATAAAGCCAGCTATCATGCACAACATCTATTTACCCCAAGTCCTAGTTATCTTTCAGCCAGGATGTGCTTTATGATTGGCACCAGGTCTGAAGGACTTGAGCAGAAGAAACAATCTGGGATTTTGAGCATACGTTTTTTACCTTAACCTGTCCTTAACTATTTGAGAAATCATGTCCTGACTGGTATTTAAGACTGATTTGGCCTATACCTAATGTCTGTTTAAGAAGTACGGTTGATATGAAAAAGTTGCACTACTTGAACATTCTATAATTTACATATTCAGTATTTTTAAAACTCCTACATCCATTCATTCATTATCCATTCATTCATTATCCATCCATCCATTCTTTCATTTATTTGTAGAACATTTACTGAGTACCTAATATGCACCAGTCACTGGTTTAGGTATGAGAAATACAGTGATAAGTGAAACAGATAACTCTTGCTTTCATGTAGATTGCATTTCTTTCAAGATGTGCAGCTTCAGTTAAACATGTAGCAAATTTTAAAAATTTGTAGTCTTTGTTGCTTGCCATGGGTCTTCTATTAGACTTTGGTATTATATTAAATATTAAAGATGCACAAATTTTTATATTAGCAATTGCTGTGGTAGAAGAGACATGAGTGTTTTATGACATATTGTTTGTATAGTTTATGGGTTTTTTTTGTGGTACGCGGGCCTCTCACTGTTGTGGCCTCTCCCGCTGTGGAGCACAGGCTCTGGACACGCAGGCTCAGTGGACATGGCTCACGGGCCCAGCCGCTCCACGGCATGTGGGATCTTCCCAGACTGGGGCACGAACCCGTGTCCCCTGCATCGGCAGGCGGACTCTCAACCACTGCGACACCAGGGAAGCCTGAGATTATGGTTTTTAAAATACTAAATTTGAAATCAGAAGGCAGAAAATTCATATGAATGAATTGTTCTTTGTGATTTTGTATGTCTTATAATACCTTTTGTTTTTAAAGCAATATAATTGCCCCTTGAATCGGTTTGAATTTATTGCAAAATAGCTTGGTACTTTAATATTTTCCCTTGTAAGATTATTGATAAAAATATAAAGTAGAGGAGACTTCTAAAAATTCTGAGAGTTTTAGATTTGACCTTCGACTTTTAGATGACATTTTGGTCATAATGTCATGGTTCTTGCTACATTATCATGCAAATTACTTCTTTACCTTCAGAATGGATTTTGCCATCAGTAAATTGAAGAAAACTGGTAATCAGACTGGACTCTATGTACTTCGATGCAGTCCTAAGGACTTTAATAAATATTTTCTGACTTTTGCTGTTGAGGTTAGTATGTCACACTAATTAATGGTAACATCTTTATTTAGTGCATATAATTTCCCTTTTGTAATATCTACCATATTTCCTTTTTAATACTCAAATGATGGCTTTGGATATGATAACTAGCAATTAAGTAAACTTAATTTACCTCAGCTATTCTTCATAAACAAGATATAATTTCTAGGACTTATGTTAAAAATTATTTGTAATATCTTACTATCTTCTGGAATTTGTTTTTTTGATGTTTGGGTGTTACCAGTGTGTTAACTTTCATCAAGTCTCTTGAAGTCTCTTTTTTCACAAAAATGCATATCTTTACCAAAACATGTAGAACTAAATAAATCAGAAGTAAACTTTCCTTTTACAGATAATGGTTATAGGATTAGAGTGAAATAATAGGGTAATAACAAAGAAAGAGACATTATTGCACTTTTAACTAGTGGTTTTCCAATATTAAGAATAATGATCTACAATGTATGTTTTAAATGTAAAACTGCAAGGAAATCTCACTGTTAATACAGATCATTTTGGATCTCAGCTAAGATTGTTTACTATCCAAAATTATCTAAAAAGATACTATCACTTATAAGGCAGTTTCATGGTATAAATCTTGAGAAACTTTGTAGCTGCTTACAAAATTTATCTTTTTAAAATTAGAGAATGTAAGGATTGTGTTATTAATTTTTATAAAAAGCAGTCATCTTATAGTTAGCATATGTAAAGTGGAGTAATTGTCCATAAATACAATACATAAAGTAGGTTGCTCCATGACTTTAACGTTGTAAAATACTGATAATCTATCCTAATTTCACAGTATCTTTACTGTCATATATGACAGTCTATTATATTCAATTATCATATCAAAATGCATATATTTTTTATATTTACTGTATTTGCCCAGCATAATATGAGGGCTAAATATCAGGGAGTCTATGCTATAACCCTGCTTCAAGAAATTTATCTTTTGGAAAAACAAAAATAAAGTATACCAGAAAATACTAAATCGAGTATTGTTTATTACCCAGTATATCCAGTATAAGCAAATATTGACAATAAGAGAAGGGATTACAATTATTAATAAAGGTCCTCTGGAGTAGGAAGCACTTGAGACTGACTGGAGATAATGAGTCAATTTTATAAAAATGGTTCTAAGTCGGTTGAATATGTTTATAAGAAGCAGTTCAAAAAATAGATGGTTGAGCAAGTTCATAATAGAGCACATAAGACAAACATCGAAAAACTGAAAAATATTAAAATTGCCATATTAGACATCATTAACAAATACAGTAGAGGCACAATAGGTAGTCACCTTTGCTTATGGGATGGGGTCAGAGTTAGGGAGGGCTTCACAGAAAAAGTGGAAATTGAACTGAGTTTTAAGGATTGAATAAAAAGTACATTGCTCAAAAGGAAAGGATGTACATTCTGTAGAGAGACAGCACATACAGTTATCAAGGCATGAAACGGCATGGCATTTGCTTGAAAAATTTTAGGTCACCTAATGTAGCTACAGCGTGGGTTGTATGTTGAGAGTGGCAGGAGTTGAGGTTGGGGATGGAGGCAGAAACCAGCTTATGGAAGGCCTTATATGCTAAAATAGTTTTAGACTTTATTCTGTAAATGGTGGAATGCTGTTAAGGATGGTATTATTATTGTTTATTATTATTGCTTTCTTCCTTGCCTTTCAATAAAATAACTTTTAAGCCATTTCTGTAGGCTAGGCAGTTGTAATTAGATGCCTTTTTGAGGAACCAAACACCTCTCTCACCTTATGCTGGTAATCATGGTTCAAATGTCTAAATGTTCTTTTGGTTGTTTTGTGATATCATTTTTGTCACAGTAATCACTATTATGTCCGTTGTGATTTTTCCTTCCCTCTCTTTATAATTAAACTTACATAGAGAGAAAACGTCATTGAATATAAGCACTGTTTGATTACAAAAAATGAGAATGGAGAATACAACCTCACTGGTACTAAGAAGAACTTCAGTAATCTTAAAGATCTTTTGAATTGCTATCAGATGGAAACTGTTCGCTCAGACAGTATAATTTTCCAGTTTACTAAATGCTGTCCCCCAAAGCCAAAAGGTAAAATAGATTTCTAGTTATTTTTAAAATATTGGCCATGGATGGTGTATATGGTGGGAGCTATTTTCAGCATGTTGATTTCAAAAGAAATAGGAAAGAAGAAGCTCCAAAAACAAATTAATTTTTTCCTGATATGTTGTACAGGCATCCTCTAATAGAATTGTTCAGTTTGGTTTATGTTTTCTAGAAGTGACTTAAAGTTTTGTAATTCTAAAATGTACTTAAAAAAAATAATTTCATGGTATCAATAAGTCACTTATTTATTGAACTGAAAGACCTCAGTACCAAATTCTCATATGTTATTCTAAGTAAAAACTTTCAGATTCTTTTAGAATTTTAATTTCTTTTAAATTATCTTTTAAAATAAAAATAAGGTTGGAAATCCTTTAAAGTAACAGGCATATTAAAATTATTATTAAAATTCCTGAAAAATTATACTAGTTAAGGAAGGGATTATAATTTTGAATATATAAAATAACTGTTTAGAGTACATCAAAGTTCAGTGAATAAACTCCTAAAATAATTTTCTATGAAAAAAAATGAACAATAAGAGGCTGTTAAGCATTTCTTGTATATGGAACACATTTTATTTTATCCCTTTGGAGCAATTTATATCCTCAGTGTGTTTTGATTTTATATATATATATTTTTTTCATTCATTCTATCCTTTTTTTTAAACAGATAAATCAAACCTTCTAGTCTTCAGAACCAATGGTATTTCTGATGTACCAACCTCACCAACATTACAGAGGCATAATAATGTGAACCAAATGGTGTTCCACAAAATCAGAAATGAAGATTTGATATTTGTAAGTCATTAGATGCTGATTATTGTCTTTTTATCTTTTTAAAACAACAACTGTTTTCTTCATTTTCTAACCCACATTACATTCATATGACATTTGGAACTCTTTTATTATAACCTATGTTATAAAAATTTTATAGCAGTTCACATATTTTTATTTCTTGTGAAAATGTGATACTGAACTTAAGTTAATTATTTTAAGAATGGAATTGTATTCTCTTTTCAGGAATTAAAAAATTTTTTAATAAATTAAAAATTAAAAGTCTTCCTCTAAAAAAGTATTTTAATTCTCAAGCTCTCAGAAAGTAAGGGAAGTTCAAAGAAGGTACTGAAAACAAAGTAGTACATAAGAGCTGATGTTTGGCCACAGAACATTTTGGGGGATCAGGATTACCAGGACCCTCACGTAAATACATCCTCAGTGAAAAATATTTGGATTGTGAAAAATTCACCTGCTAGCAAAAAGAGAAGAGTGTTGTATGTTTTAGTTGAGCTCTTAGTTATGAAAAAGTTTGTCCTGAGAATTTGTAATTATAAACTTTTGAGTTTGGCTTTCTTTATATCACCTGCATGGTTTGAGAAACCCTAAGCCAATAAATTAAATTAACAAGTGGTATTCCCCTAGTAACACCCTGTGGTGGTTGGCAGAGCAAATATAAAATCTTTTTGGAAGAATATACTCTTAATCTAGGCCACCGAAGATTCCCAGTTAAAATGACTCCAAACATGAGCTTTTAATTGTAAATTTTAAAACATACAGAGAAATAATCCCAGATTAAGCAAGAGTCAGAAGACCGACAAATATCAAATTATACTTCAAGAGCTTCATATAATAGACTTTTCAGATAGAGATTATAAAATACATATATATGTGTGTGTGTGTGTGTGTGTGTGTATGTATATATATATATATGTTTAAAAATAAAAAAGGAGTTGAAAACATGGGAAAAACCAAGACATCAAAACAGCCCAGAAAGATTTGGGGGGGGGGGGAGTATAGAAATGAAAAATACACTCATTGACATTAAAAAAATGAACAAATTAAAAAGCAGTTACTCATAGTTGAAGAGAAAACTAGTGAATTGAAAGTTAGATCTGAAAATTATTCAAAGGCGGCAGAGAGGGAGAAAGAAATGGAAGTTATGAAACAGAACTTAAGGGACATGGAGAGTAGAATGAGAAAAACCAACTAATGTCTGAGTTCCTTAAGGAGACAATAGATAGAATTATCCAGAATTATAAAGATATGAATCCTTATGTGAGTAACAAGAAGCAGAGAGTTGCCAGGTAACCTGACTAACGTTACAAAACTAATAGTAATAGATTGCAAGCAGCCCTGCTGAATTCAGAGTGCAGTCTTTCAACAATTATTCTGTAAAGGTATGCAAGAAGTACTAGTGGAATTTTTAAGACTGTTTGTCATTGAACATATTTCCTTATTCCCACTTCTTTCTCCATCTTTATTCATTCTTTCTTTCCATTTTTTCTGTTAAAGCATGAAAGCCTTGGCCAAGGAACTTTTACCAAAATTTTTAAAGGTGTAAGAAGAGAAGTAGGAGACTATGGTCAACTGCATGAAACAGAAGTTCTTTTAAAAGTTCTGGATAAAGCACATAGAAACTATTCAGAGGTTTGTATATTGCTTTTGTAGTTCATGTAGTTTATGATATTTAAAGATATGCTCTCATATGTACACAACACATTCATGTATGCAGCTTTTCAAAATTGTAATTTTTATAAGTATACATGTCAAGAACCTTTCTGAGGATGTATTCTGGTGGGTCTAAAAAATATGGAATTATTTCATAATAACTAATTTCTAAACTAAATATTAAGCATTGTGTTATGTGTATTATTACATCTTTGTATATACTAAAGCAGTGGCTTTTAAATTTGGCTCCCCAGAGCTTCATGGGTTCCACACGTTTCCTCTATAATTTCGCCTACTTAAAAAAAGTTTGAAAGGCAGTGTACGTGAGGAGCACTCTAGGTGAAATGTTGTTACCTCTGGGCATCATCCAAAGATGCTAGCCAGCAGAAACCCAGCTGCCAGTTGCCAAAGTCCTTAGTATAGTAAGATATCACCAAACATGATGTAACAAACGTTTATGATACTTAAAATGTCTTAAAGGATATTAGTAGAAGATAATGTGAAACATAGAAGCCGAAGAGTTGTTCTAATCCAGAACACCACAGTGTTGGTGATTGTGATCTTCAACAGCCATACCCAGAAGTTCAAGGCAAAGTTTAGTTGAGTTAGAGTGATGTTAATACCATGCCAGTTTCCTGACATAGTTGTTACACTATTTTATCTGCACAGCGATCATTCTTAATTTTTTAGGAAGTGTTACTTGAAGCTCCCATCCATTTACTGCAGTCCCACATCACTGTCTTTGGTGTCTGTCTCTGTTCGTACCTCTGTTCTCTATTCTAGGTGCTATGGGTCTAAGCCTGTTAATCTTGCATCATTCATGTTGCTCTGTACCAACCACTATTGTTCTTTCACATTGCTGTCTGCTTGAACCAAGCTTTACTCAAGGTTTCCCTGAGAATGAATTCTAACATCAAGGTTGATGGCAGTTGTAACTCCATCTGAAGGGACCAAAGCGCATTGTAACCTTATCTATAGTCCTGCTAATAGGAGAAAGTGCATTTCTCTTATGGCAGAGAGAATCTTGCTGAACTATGAATGCTTTTAGACACAAAAAATAATTCTTTTGCATCTTTTGTATATTTTTCTTTTCCTTAGTCTTTCTTTGAAGCAGCAAGCATGATGAGCCAGCTTTCTCACAAACATCTGGTTTTAAATTATGGAGTATGTGTCTGTGGAGAGGAGAGTAAGTAAAACGACTGGCTTCCTTATGTTAATGTTATGCCTTTCTCAGAACATCCATTTTTATTTATATAGAAAATTCAATTTCAGGATAATAGATATCAATATAAACTATAACAGGAATTAAATATTGTTGAAACCAAAAACACTGTGGAACTGTTCAGTTATATCTTCTTATAAAGGAAACCAATGAATGAAATTAAAATGCAGTAAACAGTTTAATATGGCTTATGTTAAAATGCCAGAACAGCACAGTATTATAGTAAACAAAAACAACCTTTTCTGTTAACCATAGCAATACAGATTATGGCTGGTTCAACATAACATTGTAATAACTGGCCATTTCAGTACAGATCTCTTTGAAATTATTAAGACAAAGCATATAAATGTTAGATTGAATTGTAATGGAACTGACTGAAATGATTGGATGTTGATATAGGTATAATTTATGGCTAAATTTAAACTGTTCATAAAAACTCTCAAAAGTTTACATTCAGAAATTACTCATGTAATTAATTTCCCATTTTCCATTAGTAATGTGATTAAATATGCATCCATACTTATATAACATTTTTTCATGTTTTTGAAAATTGATAGTCTTTTCAGAGGCAGTGGTTTTCAAATCTGTTCTGTAGAGGTATCTCAGGGGACTGATAAAATGGGAGTAAATCTAAATGCAGAGTGGAGAGTTCTGCCTCTCACCGCCAGCTAAAGTGGTTCTGTATTTCTCTTTTTTATTTATTGATGTTTCCCGTAAATTTTCATCTAGGGGAAAAAAAGAATATACTTCTTTACAAAGTTTGAAAACAATGTTTTAGAGCAAATAATCCCAGATCTTACATTTGCTTTTATACTTATTTCATTGATTCTGTGATACATTTTTTTCACATTAAAAATATCTGAAATTAGGAAGTGTGATATAATTGATGGTATTTCATAATTTAATTGGCAATTTTTAAAATTTTATGACACATAATAATGGGACATATGACAGTCAGTGGTATCTGTGAAATATAGTAGGTCTTACATGCCACATAAAAAAGTTTTACTAAGCCCTTGCTCATTGTAACTCTTAGATCTTTTTTTTGACACTTGCCCTGATGTAAATTTCCCTGCAGTCAGTTCTTTATTATTGACATGTTGACTGTTCTCCAAATTAACTATAGGCATAAAAACTTTCATAACATTTGTTTTAGTTACCCAGCAAGGTCCAAAGGTAGTTTTGTCACCAAAAGTTGTTGTATATCATATGAAAACTAATTTTAATATTAGATGAAGCGGAATCACAATTTGGGATTCGATCTACATACATCTACATATTATTATACATAATGTACAATTATATATAATATTGTTTATATGTAATTGTTTAGACTTTACCTCTTTCTGTTGTGAATGAACTAAAACCCCAATATACATTTTATATAGCTGTTAACCTTTCTTTAAATTAGTGAATTTTACATAGCTTAATCTCTTTACCTATAATATCACATATAACTATAAATATAATTATAAAAGTTTAAAATTATATATATTTTACTGTACAGTACTTGAGCCTTATTATTATCATTATATTTTAATGCAGATATTCTGGTTCAGGAGTTTGTAAAATTTGGATCACTAGATATATATCTGAAAAAGAATAAAAATTCTATAAATATATTATGGAAACTTGAAGTGGCTAAACAGCTGGCATGGGCCATGCATTTTCTAGTAAGTAATTATTATATTCTTTTGTCAACTTACTGTTTTAGATTATGAAGCAATGTGAAAGGATCTTGATGTGGGACCAAGAAATAAATCTGTAAATGGATGCTGAGTCATTTAAAATAATCTCTGTTAGTTGATGAAAGGGATTATTTTAGGCGTATATTTATGTGAAATCAATTTTGAAAGAAATAGTTTTGTCATCCCATCAATCTCTTAGAACTGCTGATAGTCTGTAGTTTGTGTATCTTGGCTTCAGAGAATTTAACGAAAAATTATCAAAAAAATGTTGTGCTAACTATGAATAGCAAAAAATCCCTGCGGAAAATACCTTGTTATGGTATTTGTGGGTAATTGGACATTATGTCCATTGAGAAAGCAGTTTTGCCAGAGAAGCAGAATACCAGAGGGCCAGCTAGTGATCAGATCCTTAAGAATGCACCTACTGAACAGAAACAGTATTTCTTGCTGTTAACTACCACCTACAAATATATACTATTTAAAATCTCAGCTTAATAAAGTGAACTGGCATTAAGTAGTTTTAAAAAGTATTCGTGGGACTTCCCTGGTGGCGCAGTGGTTGAGAACCCGCCTGCCAATGCAGGGAACATGGGTTCAATCCCTGGTCCAGGAAGACCCCACATGCCCTGCGGAGCAGCTAAGCCCATGCCACACAACTACTGAGCCTGCGCTCTAGAGCCCGCGAGCCACAACTACTGAGCCCACGTGCCACAACTACTGAAACCTGTGCGCCTAGAGCCTGTGCTCTGCAACAAGAGAAGCCACCGCAATGAGAAGCCCACTCACTGCAATGAAGAGTAGCCCCCGCTCGCCGCAACTAGAGAAAAGCCTGCGCACAGCAACGAAGACCCAACGCAGCCAAAAATAAATAATAAATAAATAAATAAATTTTTTTTAAAGTATTTGTTTCTTCGTGGGTATAGAGCATTGTTTCACTTAAAATGTAAAACACAAAGCACGGTGATGCCGTAAAATTTCGTTTTATTTTCTCAAAGTGTGCCTCCAATTAATGTTTATTAATACTGTTTTCTTATTTTTACTTTTTAAATCCATTTTGGGGTCTTGGACATATTAAGTGCTCAAATTGTTTGTGGATTAATATTTGAATGTATATGCATTTAACTTTAATAGGAAGAAAAAACCCTTATTCATGGGAATGTGTGCACCAAAAATATTCTTCTTATCAGAGAAGAAGACAGGAAGACAGGAAATCCTCCTTTCATCAAACTTAGTGATCCTGGCATTAGTATTACAGTTTTGCCAAAGGACAGTAAGTTCTACAGGGATCGAATTTAACTTTATTAAGCTTTGCTTAGAAAGAGGCATAAAGATCAGGCTGTTAATTTTTCTCAAATTCTATTTTATTGACATGTTCTTGATTAATAATAAAATTTAGTTACCATTTTTAGCAATCTAAATTAAGTTATAGTTACATCCTAGTCTCTGTTTCTCCTTTCTTATAAGCATGTTTCTATGTACTGTAAGATGATTTTTTTAAAACAGTGTTAATCCCTAATTATATATGGAATATTGGATTTTATCCAGTTTTATTGTGAAATTTTTAAATATCATTCTTTGAGCCACAAGTAAATTCTTCTAAATTTTTCTTCCCTTTAGTCGTTAAATAAAAATTTGAGAAGATATATTATCAAGTTTGAATTTTTTATTTAGTTTAATTATTCAGCTAATTATGATTTCTTAAAACTTTTGTGTTGATAACCTTCTCCTTAACACAATTAATTAAAGTAAAAAATTCAGTCAGATAATTGAGAGGCATTTTTTTGATCCAAATAGTGTTGTAATTGTATTTCATTACATTAGCTAATTTCTCTAATTGTATGTCTAAAGTTAGAATCCAAATTGATCAACTTTTGTACACTGATGCATGGTTTCCTATTTCAGCCAGTAGTACTTAAACTTGGTGCCTTTATATGAAGTGAAGACAGAGACTATAGGGCAGAAAATGTTATAGGATCTTAGTTAGATCTGATACTCAGGGGGACTTTACCCTTTGGAATGGGATGTGAAGAAAGAGAATATATATTCATATGGTGAAGGAGAAAGGACTCTGTACTCTCTTAATTATACAGCAAAAATTATTAACATATATAAGAATTGTTTAATTGTGGGAACTCTTTAACCATACTTTGTTCCTATCATTTGAAAGTTCTGCAGGAGAGAATACCATGGGTACCACCTGAATGCATTGAAAATCCTAAAAATCTAAATTTGGCAACAGACAAATGGAGTTTTGGTACCACTTTGTGGGAAATCTGCAGTGGAGGAGATAAGCCCCTGAGTGCTTTGGATTCTCAAAGAGTAAGTTCATGTAAACGGTGAAGTTGGAATTACCTTGTGATCCCTGATATTTTTTGCACATGATTTGATATTCTTTAGCCCATTTTATGTAAAAAAGGTTGATACGGCATTTATAATTTATTATCAACATGTGGTTCTTTAATTATAGAAACTACAGTTTTATGAAAATAGGCACCAGCTTCCTGCACCAAAGTGGACAGAATTAGCAAATCTTATTCATAATTGTATGGATTACGAACCAGATTTTAGACCTTCTTTCAGAGCCATCATACGAGATCTTAATAGTTTGTTTACTCCAGGTACGTATTGATGGAGCAATCTTAATGAGTCTCCAGCTATCTTTCTATCTTTGTTATATTTAATAAATCCTTACTAATTTTGTAATCCCCTCTGGAAAGTTCCCTGATATCTTTTTGACCCTCTTAATTTCTTACGTTCATTTGACTTTTCCTACTTTATACATTTTCTGGTCTCACTGATTGTGAAGTATTTCCATTTTTAAAAAAGGCTTTTTCCCTTTTAATAACCTCATTTTAGTTTGCCAGTTAATGAGTAGTAAACTATAGAAGTTTATTTGACTTATTTGACTTTTTAAAAACAATTCTTTTGTTTTTTTTAACTAGTTCTCATATATTCTGTAATTGATTAATTTTGTAAACATGAAGTAGATTTGTTTTTCCTCTCCTCCTTTAAAATACATAGCTAAGTATACATGTGTCTGACCTATAAGTATTTCCTGTTCCAATACTATTATCTCTTCTCACCACAAAAATCGGCATATAATCTTACTTTATAACTATTAAAACTACCTATTTTGGAAAGTATTCATTTATCCTTTGCAAAAATCTTTACTGAAAACATGTTAGATTATGGGTTATAATTCAAGGCTTCCATTAACATAATCAAAACTATTAGAGTTGCCCTGTATTGATTTGTATTTAGTATTTCTAACTCATTCTGATTATTTTGGTCAGCTTGAATATGTATTATCTTAACCTAGAGAATGGATTTGCCAGGTTATGGTAGAAATATTCTTTATTTCTCCAGATTACGAACTATTAACAGAAAATGACATGTTACCTAATATGAGAATAGGTGCCCTAGGGTTTTCTGGTGCTTTTGAAGACCGAGACCCTACACAATTTGAAGAGAGACACTTGAAATTTCTACAGCAACTTGGCAAGGTAAGATGTTAGAAGATTTTTAAATAGTTGAAATATAATCGTAAAACATTTTATTTAGGGAAAAAAAGGCTTAAGAGATTCTCTAAAGTTCACTTTCCACAAAATTTTAAAGACTGTTTGTATAACCAACAAGGATCTACTCTATACCACAGGGAACTCTGCTCAATATTATGTAACAACCTAAATGGGAAAATAATTTGAAAAAGAACAGATACATGTATATGTATAACTTTACTCTACACCTGAATCACTGAATCTACACCTGAATCACTGAATCTACACCTGAATCACTGAATCTACACCTGAATCACTTTACTCTACACCTGAAACTAACAAACATTGTTAATCAACTATACTCCAATATAAAATAAAAAGTTTAAAAAAAGTGTTTGTAGAAAAAAGGTTTAGTTGTCAGATGTTGAAGAAATGCTGTGTTAAATAAACAGCTGTCTTTACTGAAGAACTTCTCAGAACCTTTAACATGTACTGTGCATTGAACATTTTCAAGAGATGGATAAATTAGGCAGTATTTTCCCCAATTAATTTGACCATGAGACTCTTGGTAGAGGGCGCTTTGGTTATGAGATACAGAAAGGAACAATTAATTAAGCCTTTCCACCGATGTCCTTTTTCAGTCATCTCAGAGAGAAATAATTAATCTGCTTGTTCAGAGTCTAGATGTTGACTGGACCATGTTTACTAGCAGACAGTCTCTCCCTGCTGAAAGGTCACACAGTCATGCATAGCCTACATATTTTAAGTAAGACCAAGAAAACCTTAGTTCTTAGCAGGTCCAATCATAGTGGTAAATCCCTCTTTCTTCCTCTAAGCTTGCTAGTATAGGGCTCTGTACCATGTAGCTTTATGAACTGGATTTTGGCTTGGATGTATTATGAAGGCCTCACTTAGGTATTGAATCTAAACTAAATGTTCTGATCCAGCTTTACCAGAGCTAAACATTGGGTGTTATATTATGTATTGGCTTAGTTATATTAATACTTTGCTGTCATTCCTGGTTTGTAAAATAGTCTCGGGAATGTTTCAAAGTATGTAGCAATGACAAAAAAAAAGTATGTATTTGGGTGTATTAGTTATCTGTTGCTGTGCAACAGATCACCCTGAAACGTAACAGCTGAAAACAAAAAAGCATTTATTATCACACAGGTTAGGTGAGTCAGGAATCTGGGAGTAACTTAGCTGGGTGGTTATAGCTCAAGGTCTCTCACTAGACTGTAATCAAGGTGTCATCCAGGTCTTGCAGTCTTCTCTGAAGGCTTGACTAGGGGAAGGCTTACTTCCAAGCTTACCACGTGGCTATTGACAAGGCCTCAGAATATCTGCTTCCAAGCTCACTTACACGGGCCTCTCCACAGGCTGCCTCACAACACGGGAGCTGAGAGCAAATACCCAAGATCGAAGCCATTGTGTTTTCATATCCTAATCTCAGGAGTGGCATCTTATCACTCCTGCCATATTCTGTTCATTAAAAATGAGTTAATAAATCCAGCCTACACTCAAGGGGAGGGGATTTTAAAAGAGCTTGAATATCAGAATGTAGAGAACATTGGGAGATAATCACAGAAGCTGCCAACCACACAGGCTGACCTTGGCTTAAACAGCAGACATTTATTTCTCATAATTCTAGAGGCTGAAAAGTCTAAGATCAGGGTTCCAGTAGGGTTCAGTTTCTGATGAGGGCTCTTTTCTTGGCTTGCACATGACCACCTTCTCACTGTGTCCTTATATGGCAGAGAGAACTGGTGTCTCTTCCTCTTCTTATAAAGGCACCAGCCCTATTGGATGAAGGACTCACCCTTATGACCTTATTTAATCTTTATCACCTCTTCACAGTTTTATCTCCAAATACACTCACATTCAGGGTTAGAGCTTTATCATATGAATTTGGGGGGATGGGCATGGACATATTCAGTCTGTAACATACCCTTATTCCATATAGCTCACTGACAGTGACATCAAAGGCTATATTGTGAAGAAGAAAAGTTCTTCCTGGAAGTTAGTGATAGAAATTTAGGAATTCCCTGGCATGTCCCTTGGCTTATCTTAAAAATTAATGTTAATGATTTGTTTAAATGCTTTTTTGAAGTTTTTATATTTCAGCCTGTAATTCCTTTTGAAGAAATTAAATATTTAAGTTTACTACTCACCTATTGAAATATTATCTCCTTTTCTTGTTCTGAAAGTTGTTTAATGTGAGTTTTGAGATACATCTTCTAGCTGCTGAAAATTGCCTGTATAATCAGAATTTATTAGTACTTTTTCTAGAAAACTTGTGATTTCTATCTTAATGTGATGTATTATTTAGGGTAATTTTGGCAGTGTGGAGATGTGCCGGTATGACCCTCTACAAGACAACACTGGAGAGGTGGTGGCTGTGAAGAAGCTCCAGCACAGTACTGAAGAGCACCTCAGAGACTTTGAAAGGGAAATTGAAATCCTTAAATCCTTGCAACATGACAACATTGTAAAGTACAAGGGAGTGTGCTACAGTGCTGGTATGTTGCCCATTGATACCTTTTTTGAACTCAGGGTATGTCTTTGACATCCTGGGTAATATTGTAGAAACTTATAATGCCTCCAGATCTGGACTTAAAATATTCCAGTACCCAGAGAAAGAAGCATTCTGTATGACTGGAGATTGTACTTGGTGTTAGGAAGTCCTTGACTACTTGATTGATCATTCTCTTCACTGAGGATGGTGGTTACCATTCTTGCTTAAACTTACCAAGGGAATGTCATTTTTAAAGAAAGAAATTTTCTGTGAAAATATTATTTTTTTAAATTAGATGCTTTTTATTCAGTATAGATGAAGAGAAAGGAAGTTTTCTCATCAGCTTATTTTGGTTTGCATAATGGGTTACAGAAGATTAAAACATAACTATTTTTAAAACTTCTATTCACATCTTCTTGATTCAAAAAGTCATTGTTCTTGGGCTTCCCTGGTGGCGCAGTGGTTGAGAGTCCGCCTGCCGATGCAAGGGACACGGGTTCGTGCCCCGGTCCGGGAAGATACCACATGCCGTGGAGCGGCTGGGCCCGTGAGCCATGGCCGCTGAGCCTGCATGTCCAGAGCATGTGCTCCGCAATGGGAGAGGCCACAACAGCGAGAGGCCCGCGTACTGCAAAAAAAAAAAAAAAAGTCATTGTTCTTAACTACTACATCACCTTTAATTTTATAATCAGGTTTTGTCATCTTAGACTCAGATTTTTTTTTTTTATTAATAACTCCAGGACTTCCCTGATGGCACAGTGGTTGAGAATCCACCTGCCAGTGCAGGGGACATGGGTTCGATACCTGGTCCAGGATGATCCCACATGCTGCGGAGCACCTAAACCCGTTTACCACAACTACTGAGCCTGTGCTTTAGAGTCCGTGAGCCACAACTACTGAGCCCACACACCACAACTACTGAAGCCTGCACACCTAAAGCCCGTGCTCCACAACAAGAGAAGCCACCGCAGTGAGAAGCCCATGCACTGCAACAAAGAGTAGCCCCCGCTCACTGCAACTAGAGAAAGCCCCTACGCAGCAGTGAAGACCCAACGCAGCCAAAAAAATAAAAAACCTCCAGTCATGCTTTATTACTATTATTTTTTTTTTTTTAGGTTGCACTGGGTATTAGTTGCGGCTCCAGGGCTCCTTATTTGTGGCACACAGGCTCCTTAGTTGTGGCATGCTCTTAGTTGCAGCATGCATATGGGATCTAGTTCCCTGACCAGGGATCAAACCCGGGCCCCCTGCATTGGGAGTGTGGAATCTTATCCAGTGCACCACAAGGGAAGTCTCTTAGATTTTATATATCTTTTAAGTCTTTTTTTTTTTTTGCGGTACGCGGGCCTCTCACTGTTGTGGCCTCTCCTGTTGCGGAGCACAGGCTCCGGACGCGCAGGCTCAGCGGCCATGGCTCACGGGCCCAGCCGCTCCGCAGCATGTGGGATCTTCCCGGACCGGGGCACGAACCCATGTCCCCTGCATCGGCAGGCGGACTCTCAACCACTGCGCCACCAGGGAAGCCCTTTAAGTCATTTTTATACAGTTTTTTTCTAATAGTTCATCAGTAAAGTATAGCAGAGTAAAACGTTATGTTCTCATTTTTGTGTTAATAGGCCGGCGTAATCTAAGATTAATTATGGAATATTTACCATATGGAAGTTTACGAGACTATCTCCAAAAACATAAAGAACGGATAGATCATAAAAAACTTCTTCAGTACACATCTCAGATATGCAAGGTACCTAATATCCTGGCTGTTTGTTGTACATGAAGAGAATATGTTGAAGTAATTATTAAGAAATCCTCTAAGGTTTTTCTTAGATAATTAAGGGAGTAGAAAGATACAAGACTATTTAAATTGTTTATGTTTATAAAGCTAGCTGAAAGAAAAATGTTATTTTATTCATAGGGTATGGAGTATCTTGGTACAAAAAGGTATATCCACAGGGATCTGGCAACGAGGAATATATTGGTGGAGAATGAAAACAGAGTTAAAATAGGAGATTTTGGCTTAACCAAAGTGTTGCCACAAGGCAAAGAATACTACAAAGTGAAAGAACCTGGTGAAAGTCCCATATTCTGGTGAGTCTATTTTAGTACAGTAAAATGAAGTTTTGGAGCACAAACTTCAAACTTTATTTTTACTATTAATAGTTTGTCATTTATATATTTATAGTAATAATCAATGAAGTTATTTCCTATGTTTTCCTCTGGGAATTTTATGGTTTTAGGTCATACATTCAAGTCTTTAATCTATTTTGAGTTAATTTTTGTATGTGGTATAAAATAGTGGTCTAATTTCATTCTTTTGCACATGTTTGTCCAGTTTTCCCAACACCCTTTATTGAAGAGACTGTCCTTTCTCCATTGTATGTTCTTTGCTCCTTTATTATAATTTAATTGTCCATATATATATGGGTTTGTTTCTGGGCTCTCAATTCTGTTTGGTTGATCTGTTGTCTGTTTTTATGCCGGTACCAACCTGTTTTGATCACTGTGGCTTTGTAGCATATCTTGAAATCAGGGAGCATGCTACCTCCAGCTTTGTTCTTCTTTCTCAAGGTTGTTCCCTTTCTCAAGGGATCTTTTGTGGTTTCGTACAAATTTTAAAATTTGTTCTAGTTCTGTGAAATATGTCATTGGAATTTTGATAAGAATTGCATTAAATCTGTAGATTGCTTTGGGTAGTATGGACATTTTAACAATATTAAGTCTTCCAATCCATGAGCATGGACTGTCTTCCCATTTAATTGTGCCTTCTTTGATTTCTTTTATCAGTGTCTTAAACAGTTTTCACTGTACAGGTCATTCACCTCCTTGGTTGAATTTATTCCTAGATATTTTATTGTTTTTGATACAGTGGTAAATGGGATTGCTTTAATTTCTCTTTCTGTTAGTTTGCTATTAGTGTATAGAAATGTCACTGGCTTGTGTATATTGATTTTTTTGTTTTTGGTATCCTGTGACTTTACTGAATTTATTAGTTCTAAAAGTTTTTTTTTTATTATTTCATGGAGTCTTTAGGGTTTTCTCTATATAGTATAATGCCATCTGCAAAGAGTGACAGTTTTACTTCCTCCTTTCGAATTTGGATGCCTTTTCTTTCTTTTTCTTGCTTAATTGCTGTGACTAGAATTTCCAATACTGTGTTGAATAAAAGTGGTGAGAGTGGGCATCCTTGTCTTGTTTCTGATTTTAGAGGAAAGGCTTTCAGGTTTTCATTGTTGAGTATGATGTTAACTGTGGATTTGTCATATATGGCCTTTATTATGTTGAGGTAGGTTCCCTCTATACCCACTTTGTTGAGAGTTTTTATCATAAGTGGATGTTAGAATCTTATCAGTTGCTTTTTCTGCATCTGTTGAGACAATCGTATGGTATTTATCCTTCATTTTGTTCATGCAGATGTTGAACCATCCTTACAGCCTTGGAATAAATCCCACTTGACCATGGGATATGATCCTTTTGATGTATTGTTGAATTCAGTTTGCTAATATTTTGTTGAGGATTTTTGCATCTATATTCATCCAGGTATTGGCCTGTAATTTAGTTTTTTGCGGTGTCCTTGTCTGGTTTTGGTATTAGGGTAATGTTGGCCTCATAACACGTTTAGATGTGTTCCCTCCTCTTCAGTTTTTTTGGAAGAATTGAGAAGGAAAAGTATTGAATCTTATTTGAATGTTTGGAAGAATTCATCAGTGAAGCTGTCTGTTTCCTGGACTTGGCATTTGTTGGAAGTTTTTTGATTACTGACTCAGTCTCCTTACTATTCAGGACTATTCAGGCTTTCTATTTCTGTTTCTTCATGATTCAGTCCTGGTAGATTATATGTTTCTAGGAATTTGTTCTTTCTGGGTTGTTCACTTTGTTGGCATATAATTGTTTGTAGTATTCTCTTATTATCCTTTGTATTTCTGTGGTATCAGTTGTGACTTGTCCTCTTTCGTTTCTAATTTTATTTATTTGAGCCGTCTCCTTTTTTTCTTGGTTAGTCTAGCTAAAGGCTTCTTGATTTGTTTATCTTCTCAGAGAACCAGCTCTTGGTTTTATTGATCTGTTCTATTGTCTTTTTAGTCTCTATTTCTGCCCTCATCTTATTATTTCCTTCCTTCTACTACCTTTGGGCTTTGGTCTTTTTCTAGTTCCTTTAGGTGCAAATTCAGGTTGTTTATTTGAGACTTTACTTGTTTCTTGAGGTAGGCCTGTATTGCTATGAACTTCCTTCCTAGAACCACTTTTGCTGCATTCCATAGATTTTGGTGTGCTTTATTTTTGTTTTTATTTGTCCCTAGGCTTTTTTTCTTTTTTCTCCTTTGATTTCTTCATTGACCCATTAGTTGTTTAGTCGCATGTTGTTTAATCTTCATGTTTTTGTGGTTTTCCAGTTTTCTTATTGTGATTCCTAGTTTCATACCATTATAGTTGGAAAACATGCTTGATATGATTTCAGTCTTCTTGAATTACTGGGACATGTTGTGGGCTAACACATGATCTATCCTGGAGAATGTTCCATGTGTACCTTAGAAGAATGTGTATTCTGCTGCTTCTGGATAGAGTATTCTGAACATATCTGTGAACTCCATCTTATCTAATGTGTCATTTAAGGCCAAATGTTTCCTTTTTGATTGATTTTTTTGTGAATGATCTATCCATTGCTGTAAGCGGGGTATTAAAATCCCCTACTATTATTATATTGCTTTTAATTTCTCCCTTTAGGGCCAGTAATATTTGCTTTATATATTTTGGTGTTCCTACGTAGTGTGCATATATATTTATAAATGTTTTATCTTCTTGCTGGATTGACCCCTTTATCATTGTATAGTGCCTTTCTTTATCTTTTATTACAGGCTTTGTTTTAAAGTCTGTTTTATCTGCTGTGAGTATAGCTACACCAGCTTTCTTTTCATTACTTTTTCCTCACATCCAGTCTGTGTGTGTCTTTACTTCTGAAATAAATCTCTAGGCAGCATATAGATGGGTCTTGTTGTTTTTTTTTTTTAATCTATTCAGCCACTATATGTCTTTATATTGGCTAATTTAGTCCATTTACATTTAAAGTAATTGATAGGTATGTACTTATTGCCATTTTGTTTATTGTTTTCTGGCTGTTTTTATACTTCCTCTCTGTTCCTTTCTTCTGTCTTCCCTTTGGTTTGCTGGATTTTTTACAGGCCAATACCTGGATGAACATATATGCAAAAATCCCATGTGGTTTGCTGGATTTTTTTAGTATTATGTTTAGATTCCATTCTCATTTTCTTTTCTGTGTGTACTGTAAGGTTTTTCTTTGTGGTTACTGTGGTGTTTACATATAACATTGTATGTATATAGCAGTGTCTTCCAAGTTGATAACAACTTAAAATGTAAAGCAAAGCTTTACATTTTTACTCTCCCCCCTGCCACATTTTATATTTTTGATGATGCCTTTTTATTTTATTTTATTTTATTTATTTATTTATTTTGCAGTACGTGGGCCCCTCACTGTTGTGGCCTCTCCCGTTGCGGAGCACAGGCTCCGGACGTGCAGGCTCAGCGGCCACGGCGCATGGGCCCAGCCACTCCGCGACATGTGGGATCTTCCCAGACCGGGGCGCGAACCCGTGTTCCCTGCATTGGCAGGCGGAATCTCAACCACTACGCCACCAGGGAAGCCCTGATGATGCCTTTTGCATATTCTTATTTTATGCTTCCCTTAAGTATTACTGTAATTTGAGTTAACTTTACTACTTTTGTCTTCATACTTGCTTTATAAGTGACTGAGCCACTACCTTTACTATATGTTTTCCACTGAGATTTTCATTTTCATATATTTTCTTATTATTAATTAGTGCCATTTCTTTTTTAGCCTAGAGAAGTCCCTTTAACATTTCTTATAAGGCCAGTTTAGTGGTGATGAAATCCTTTAGCTTTTGCTTATTTGTAAAATTCTTCATCTCTTCTTCAGTTCTGATTGATAATCTTGACTGGTAGAATTGGTAGAGAATTCTTGGTTGGAAAGTTTTTCCTTTCAGCATTTTGAATAGGTCATCCACTTCTTTCTGGCTGATAAAGTTTCTGCTGAAAAATCTGCTGATTTAGGGATTTCCCTTGTACTTAATAGGTAGTGTTTTGGGGGTTTGGGGGGCTTTTTGTTTGTTTTTGCTGCTTTTAAGATTCTTTATCCTTAACTTTTACCATCTTAATTGTAATGTGTCTTGGTATGGTTCTCTCTGGGTTCATCTTATTTGGAACTTTCTGAAATTCTTAGACCCAGAATGTCTGCTTTCTTCCCCAGATTAGGGAAGTTTTCATCAAAATTTTTCTGACCTTTTCTCTCTTTCTCTTTTCCTCTGGGACCCCTATAATGTGAATGCTGTTCTGCTTGATGTTGTTCCAGAAGTCCCTTAAGGTATATTCACTTTTTTAAATTCTTTTTTCATTTTGCAACTGTGTCTGGGTGATTTCTATTTGTTTCATTTTCCAGCTTGCTGATTCGTTCTTCTGCTTCATCAAGTCTTCTGTTGAAACCCTCAAGTGTATTTTTCAGTTTAGCTATAACTTCTATTTAGTACTTTCTTATATTTTCTACCTCTTTGTTTAAGTTCTTGCTGTGTTTATCCAATCTTCTTCTGAGTTCAATGAGCATTTTTATGACCATTGCTTTGAACTCTTTGTTGAGTGAGTTGCTTAGCTCCATTTCATTAATGTCTTTTGTCTTTTTCTTTGGTTTGGAACATATTCCTCTGCCTTCTCATGGTGCATAACTTTCTCTATTTGTCTAAATTCATTAGGTGAAACAGCTACCTCTTCCAGTCTTGTTCTTGTGTAGGAGATAATCCATAGGGCCCAGAAGCACAATCTCCCTGGCCACCAGACCCAGGCACTCACGGGTGTTCTTCACGTGGACTGTGCACACCTACAAGCTGTGGTGGGGCTGCTGCTATGATGTGGGATGTGTGGGATTTGGGGTGCTCACCTGCTGGTTGTAGTGAGCTGTTGCATAGTGTGGACTGGGTTTGGGGCACTTGCTCATCCCAGTTATGGTGCAGCTAGTGTGTGGGGAGAGTGGGGTATATCGTGTGTTTGTCCAGCCCAATTGTGGT